GCGCGGGGAAGGAAACTGGGACGGGGGGAGGGGGCAGGGCTCCGTGGGGAATTGACTAGGGCAGAGGCCGAAGCAGTGGGCGTGCGCGTGAGAGACAGACGGACGGAGGCGGGGGGAGGCGCGGAGAGAGCCAGAGACCCAGAAATGGAGAGACGCAAAGAGAAAAACACGTAGAGAAACAACGAGAGACACACACACACACAGGGAGGCATATACAGAGAGGGAGAGAGACAGGGTTAGGATTGGAGATGAGACAGAGACGACGTGACAGAGACAGTCCCAGAGACGTTCAGAGAGAGAAGTGAAAGGGAGTGTCACATAAATAGAAAAAGAGGGAGAAAAAAAGGGGACAAACACCCGTAGACAGAAATCTGCAGGAGCAAAACATTGAGAGGAGACCAGCAGGCCGGCTTATTATGGAATGATGAGACCTGTCGGCCTGGCTGATGTCACTCTCAAACAGCCCGGATCCGGAGACCTTGACCGCCCTCCCCTTCTCCACTCGCGAGGAGTGGGGTCCCGGATACTTGTCGAGGCTGAAAAGGGGCCTTCTTTCCCAATTCCAGAGCCACGGTAGCCTCTTGCCCTCCCGCAGATAGTAGCGCTTCTGTTGTATAAAAGTGTTTTACATACATACGTTAACTCTAGGAGGGGTTATTGTTCCCATTTTACACACGAAGAAACCCGGGTTTAGAGGCCAAGTTACTCTACTAGCTCCATTTAGTAAATGGCAGCAGACTAACACCAAAGCCCTAAATTATGTTGAGTTTGCCCTCTGAGAAAACCGAAGATTGGAAAAGGCGAGATCTTTTATTAATGGTGGAGGGTTGCCTTCACGGAAAGTTATTCTGAAATGGAAGAAATGGGTCATCCCCAGCTAATGGTCGGACAGGTCTCAAAAAGCGGTGTGCCTTTAGGGAACGCTAAACCTGCGGGGATCACTCCCCGCATTGGCAAGTCGTTTACTGTCAAGGGGGTGCCCTGCGCGAAAACTTTAAGATCTGGGCAGAAAACTTATTAAGTCGATCTTGGTGAGCTGGCTGCCCTAGGTGAAAATACGAAAAATCATTGCCACGTTGTGCAGTTATAATGGTGCAAAGTTCATTCTTCTAGGCTGACACTGTGACTGCGGGCTCGTACTGAGGTGGGGAGTTTCGGCCAGGCACGCCGACCTGCCTTGTCCGACAGAGCGCGGGGGAAATCCCTGGTGCGGCGCCTTCTGGGGCTGAGGGGGCCTTCCCGGCCGGTCCCGTGAGCTGGGCGGCTGCGGGCGGCTCTGGCACGGTTGCCGCCTCCCGCTCGCCCGTGACTCACTCGCAAGGGGCGGGGGAGGGGGGCTTCCTGGAAGCGGTGACGAGGAGGCTCAGCCCGGACGCCCGGGTTCCTCTCTTGTAACCAGGGCTTCGGTCGCCTGTAAACAGAGCCTCGAGGACAACGGGAAAAGGGGAAAGGGGAGGTGCCTTGCACCCGCCTCCCGTCTGGGCTCCAAACCCTGTGCCGCTAGTAGGACGAAGGCAGTGGGAAAACAGAAGGTGGGGGGCACCCCGGGGTGGCCGGAGCCCAGGTTGGCTCCGGCCGCGATCTTGGAAGAGGGATTCCAGTTTTTACAGGGAGCATTTCCCATCCCTGAGTCAGGCTGACCCCCTCCCCTCTCCCATCTGCTGAGTCATCGGCTCGAGAACCTGGACGCTCGGGGTTGGGCGACTCTCGAAGAGGCTGGAGGGGGATGGGGGGCTATGCACAGGGAAGGACCGACCACACACCGAAACGTAGACTGTGGGACCCAGGAGCCCGGGCCTCGGCCCCTCCTTGCTCAATTCTAGGAGTCCGGGTCTCCCAGGCCCCTCCTTCTTCAGACCCAGGAGTCCGAGCCCCCAGTCGTTCCTCCTCCAATTTAGGAACCCATTTCCCAGTCACCCTCCCACCCGTCCTGGCCTCAGGCGTCCCAGCCCAGGAGGAAGTTCGGGACAGGGCTCCTCCTCATCCCCACGTAGCCAGCGGGAAAATCCGTGGCCCCGGCGGCGGCCGGGAATCCCCTCTGGAATGACGGTGGGGAAGGGGATGGCCGGGTCCCCCGCTGGGCGCAGGGGGCCGGTCCTGGGCGGGCAGGAGGAGGGGGAAAGGGGCGGAAACCAGACAGGCTAAAAATACTGCGAGCACTTCCGGCCTAGGGGGAGGGGAACGGAGAGCAGAGTTTCCAGAAAAACAAGCAGGGACGGGAAACGCGGGGGTGTGAGAGCCCCGGCGAGCGCGCGGGCGAGCGGGGGCCGTGTGCTTGCGGCACGTGTGCCGAGGCCAAGTGTGTGCCTGGCGTGATTAGGCATGATAAGGTGCGGCCGACTGTGCGTGCAACTGCATGGGCCCACGAGTGTGTGTGTGTGTCCATGACGTGTGAATAGTGTATGCGCTGCAGGTGCGAAGGTGTGTGCCCTGGCGTGACTGGGTGTGGGACACCCGAGGTGCGTGAATATGCAGTTGGCCAGACAGGTGTGGGACATGAGCTGGTGTGTATTTTCAATTCCACTTGACATGGCTGTGAATAAATGTGTGAAACCGCCTGGGCCTGTATGATTGACTGCACACACTGTGTTTACTTTAACCATCTCTGGGTGTGGGAGTGTGTACTCAGCCCTGTCTTTGAGGTGGTGTTCCTGTGACTTACCCACCTGCACATCTGTGTGTAGCTCCGAACCACTGTGGGATCTGGAGTGACTAAGTATGTGTTACTCCTTGAAAGAGCCTAGTGTATGACGGTCTCCCCTCTGGTGCGATGAGGATCGGTACACACATACTTCGAAGTTAAGAGCGTGTGTAAAGCGTCTGAGACCATAGGCAGCCGTGGTTCTGTGCAAGGCCTTTGCAGCACAGTGTATGTCGTGAACAGTGTTCTTCTGTGCCTGTGTCCTTATTTGGGGGTGTCACTGAGAACATAGGAGGCCAGTGTCTAGATGTGGTTCCTCTGTGGCCCAGTCACAAGGCAGTGAAACTGGTGAACTTTGGTTCCTGACGTCTACAGTGCGCATGATGGGGAGGGCGGCTGGCGCACCCCCACTCCACCTCTCTGTTCCTGCTGGCCTCTATGGGCAGAGCAGAGGCACACAGGCTCGCACCTGGAAACCTCTCCCCAGTCAAGGCTGCTTCTGATGTTGAGCTGTGGGCAGGGCTGAGTCAGCCTGTGATGGGCAAAGTCTGAGATTAGGTGAGAGATAGCAGGTTAAGTGGAGGTTGGAGGGTTGTTTATATATTCGCGTTGTTGGATTGTTCTTGTAGGGTCTGTTTGCTGACTTAGCACTGGGACCGAGACCCTGGGGACACCATGATTGTAGGATGGTGGTTTATGTTATCCTCCGCTGGGGGTGGGGTTTTATTTGTGCCTGTGTCTCCCTGGTCTGTTTTTGCTTTGTGGCTGTGACGTCTCATGTGCACCCTTCCTTGGCGTGTGTGGTTGTGCACCAGGCTGTACAATCACCCTTTGGGGCGAAGAATCTAGTAAAGATCTAAACCAAAGTCCCCCACAACCTGCCTCAATTTCTCCTACCCTTGCCCCTTCACTGTGGTCCAGACCGCTACATTGTTCCATAAACACACCATCGATTTCCTGCCTCAGCCTTTGCACTTGCCATTCCCTCCCTGGACTGCTCTTTCCCCCGCTGTCCATATGACATTCTCTCCTCCAAGTCTGCCTTCTCGGCGAGGCCTTCCTGTCCTCTATCAAGGATTTTAAAAAGTAAAAGAAATTTAACAAATAATGAATACATGTAACATCTATTTACAGACCATAATCAAATACCTATGAACCACTACCCAACCTAAGCTCTCAAATTTTCTCAGTAAAGTAATATTATCCTCTATGTGTAAATCTTGCACGTTAACTTTATTCCTAAGTACCTTTTTTCCTATTAAAAATCACTCTCGTAATCTCACTTCTGTTTCATTTTTCTTCTTGAAATTGCTGACATACTGTTGATCCCTGAACAAGGGTTTGAATTGGGCAGGTCCATTTATACGTGGATTTTATTTTTTTTATTTATGCCTATAGCACCTGGTCTTCCTAGGTGGTCTCCCATCCAAGTACTAACCAGGCCCGACCTTGCTTAGCTTCTGAGATCAGGCATCGGGCTTGTTCAGGGTGGCATGGCCGTAGACCATGGACTGTGGCTCCATTGGGGCCAGGACCTTCTGTGTGTAAAGCAGATGTGCTAACTGCTACACTATGGAACCACATCCAGGATTTTTTTCACTAAATATTGTAAATGTACTTTTCCTACCTTATGATTTTCTTAGTATGTTTCTTGTGTTGACTCCACTTCACAGGGCCAGCTGTACCTGTCTTCTGAGTGTGTGTGCGCCTATGGTCTGACACATCCCAACTACTACCTGGCATATACCCCATGGCAGGAAGCTGGTGGGCTCCTCTGGGGAAAGTGCATTTTTGGGTGTCCATGGATAACTGCATCATGTTAGATGGGAGTATGACTTTGTTCTTATATTTGGAGACCAACTATGGTTAAGGAGATGTGTATGGGTGCTGAATTGACAAGGACTAGATTATAATGGTCAGTTTTATGTGCCAACTTGGCTAGGTTACAGTCCTTGGTTATTCAAACACTAATCTAGATGATGTTGTGAAGATATTTTGTAGACGTGATTGAAGTCCATAGTCAGTTGACTTTAAGGAACTTATCCTAGATCTGGGGAGTTAGCTGCGGGGGCTGACTCAGTCAACAGATGGGCAGAGCTGTGGCTTCTCTGAGGAAGAAATTCAACCCATGGACAGCAGCTTCAGCTAGTGCCCCAGAGGTCTGCTTCCCTTCTGAGGGCCTGCCCTACATGCCTGGCACTTCAAGGACGGACAGGGAGAAGGGGAAGGAACTTCCTGGGATGTGTACACAGACACAGACACACACAGCTGGCCATTTCCCAAGACTTCAGTGTGGGGACTTGGACTTTGGGTGAATCACAGGTTTCCATGGTCCCAGGGTTTCCTTGCAGATGTGGGGTCCAGAACAGGACAACTCTGGGAACCAGGGCACAGAAGGTACTGGGTGGGGCAGTCCCCCAACCAGACTGAGTCACTTGAGCCTTTCACACCCTACCAGCTGGGCCGGGGCTGGTAGCTCCACCCTATACTTGCCCAGGCTTGAAGGCCATGGCTGAACTCCCCAAAGCTTGCTTTCAGAGAAGGGGGAAGCCTGGTGAGATGCCTCCTCCCCAAAGACCCCTACCCAAGGCCTGCTTCCCGGAGCTGGGGCCCAGGCGCCTGGGTTCTTCCCCAGGACTGATGATTCACCCCTTCAGGGGCCTTTTCACTTCTCCTTTGGGTCTAAAAATACAAGGACCCAGGCATCCAGCTGGGCCAGGCTTCGCCAAGGATTGCACAATGCCCCCAGTCTGAGTGCTGCTGACGCAGGCCCTGGGTGTGGGTCGGGGCCTGAGCTCCTCCCCGATCAGGCTTGCTGAGGTCAGGGCTTAGACCCCTTCACTTCCCCTTTCTTGGGCCAAGGACACTGCAGGCTGGGCTGAAATGGGAGGTGCTGGGGATCCTGGGCTTGGCTGTAGCTCCTGGAAATGAAGCTCCTTTCCTTGCCCCAGGTAACCCAGGGATCTGGCTCCCAGAATCTGGCCTCCTTCATACTCACAGAGTCCCACTGAGGACTTGGTAACCCAGGGATCTGGCTCCCAGAATCTGGCCTCCATACTCACAGAGTCCCACTGAGGACTTAGGGGCAGAGGAAAGAAATCAAGAGATGGGAGAGAGATGGTCAGAGACAGGGAGACACAGGACCACAGAGACGCAGACACAGGGATAAAAAGACTGAATAAGAGAGACAACAGACACATGCATCAGAGACACACATAAAGGAACAGCTAGTAAAAGGAGCAGAAACCTCATGCCCAAACTAGGTCAGAATCAAGTACAGATGGAGGGAGAGAGGCCCAGTTAGGGATTTCACAGCCAGGCCAGGTAGTGGAGCACCCCTCTAAGAGGTCATCAACAGGCACAGTTGAAAGTCCACCCTTGTTAGAGAGCAGGCAGCCGGCAGAAGACCCCGCCCTGCTCACTTCCTGCAGGCCTCTGCTGCCCCCTGCTGGCCGCAGCCCCGGTGCTAACGGCGGAATAAGACACAGACAAGACTGCTTTGAGGCCACTCTTCATTCTCTCCCTGTCTCCCTCCCACACAGCCTGCCCCACTCCCAGCCCTGCCAGCTCACAGGGCACCTCCAGGGCCGGTAGGTGGTGCAGGAGTCTTGCCTGTGACCTTGTTGGCACAGTCCAGCAGAGCGGTGTGAATATCCTTGGCACAGGCAATCTGCGCTTTGATGACTGCCAGGTACTGCGGGTAGGGCAGGCTGTCAGGCTGCACCGCGTCCGGCTTGGTGGCTGTAGGCACCAGTGTTGGAGAGTGCTTGGCACTGTCACAACTCTGTGACAGGCACTCATGTGCCAGGCGCTGTGGACAGGCAGGCAAGGTGCAGCATCAGCTTCACTCTGGGTACTCCCAACCCCACCCCAAGGGCCAGCCTGGGATAGCCTGCTTGGCTCTTGGACTTCAAGGGTCTTGGGGCCAGAGCCTGGCCTTGCCAGTCACTTGCTGGGTGACCTCAGGCATGCAGCTGTTCCTCTCTGAGCCTCTTTCCTCCTTTGGAAAATGGGTTTAATAACTACCTCTGCTATCGCATAATGGTGAAAATGGTAAGAACAGTGTGTGAAACATAGGCACAGATCCTGGCCTATCACTTAAGTGCTAATTAATGAATGTTAGCTACTGTGATTATGACTGTCCCAACCCCAGGCCTGGTATTGGCAAGAGGCCTCTCTGATGGCACCTGCTCCCTGTTTTCCTCCTATTTCTCTGGTTGCTCCTTCTAGGTACTTTTTACTCTACCCAAGCCTTAAATGCAGCAATTCCCATGTCCCATCTCCTACTCTAATTCACATGCCCTGTTGGGGCTATCTCAACCCACACGCCACTCACTGATGACAGCATATCTGTGTCCCCAGACTCCCCTGATATTCCAGAGCTCTCATACTTTCCCCCCTAAACTGCTCTTCTTCCTGGGTCCCTGTCTCAGGGATAGCCCTACCATTCCAAATAGAGCCCTGGGCCTTATCCCGGAGGCTCCTCTTCCTGCGACTCTTCGGTTAAATGGCCTTTTCACAAAGCCCCACTGTCTCTCCCCCATCTGCCCTTCCGCAATTCCTCAGGACCCTGCCTTGGTAGAACTTGGCCCACTGAATCCTACCATGGCTGTCTTCTTGGCCCCCTTAACCCATCCCTCACTTGGCAGCTAGAGGCGTATTCTTAAAAAAGCAACGGGTCCATGTTCTTCCTTGCCTGAAACCCTAGATGGCTCCCTAGCACCCTCAGGGTACAGTAAAAATTCAACAAGTCCCAATGCCAACTATACCTCAGCCAGACTGAATTTCGTGACATTCCTAAAGGGAACTTAAAGCAGAAGTCGGTCCTTCTGGTCGGAATGCCTTTCTACCACTGCCGGGCTTCTCAAACTCTGACTTCTCCTTCAAAACCCAGTTCAAGATAATGATGACAATGATGATAGTGCAGGAAACATTTACCATGTGCCTAATAACCATGTTAAGTACTTTACATGCATGATCTTGCTGGGTCTTTCCCCAAAATCCATTTTCTAAAGGAGGAACCCAAGGCCCAGAGGTAGAGGTTGGTGGTCCATCTGAATCCAGAGGCTGTACTCCTTGCCACTTGCCTTCCTCTCAATTCCTGCCCCTCTTCCATTTTTGTTCCTGCCTCAGCTCAGATGTGCTCTCCACCAGTAGTCTTTCCTGAGTCCTTTTCTCCCTACCCCCACCTTGAGCAGGGTCAAGTGCATTTCTCTGGGCTCCCACAACCCCCTGTGCTTCTCCCATTTTAATCCTGACCTCTCTAACTGTGGCTCCCCGCCAGCCCCCAATCCCAGCCCTGACCTCTAAGGCCTGGGCTTCTCCCATCGCAGCTTTGAGCACTCTAAGCCGTCATTGTTTGGGGATGTATGTCATCCCACTGAACTGGAAGCTCTGGGAGAGGCCAAATATCAGGTCAACACTGTTGAAGCACAGGTCTGGCCCACAGGAAGTGCCCCGGGTGTGTGTGTGTGCTGACTGACTGAATGAAGGTTCCTGAAGACCCAAGGACTGAGGGAGGGTTGTGGTCATTGAGTGTCCAGGAGGCCCCTTACCAGACAGAGCTCCAGCTGGTCACAGAGTGCATAGAACTCCTCCAGACACTTGTCAAAGCGCTGTATGGGTCCGTCACTGCTCTTTCTATAGCCCAGGAGAAGGAGGAGACTAAGGAATGGACTTCCGATCTTTGGAACATCAGTGTCTACCCAACCAAGTATTCATCAGGAAACCAGGTCTAGGCCCAGGAGCCCAGAGGCAGGGCCTAGGGGATGGTTAGTAGTATAAGAGGCAAAAGGTGCAAGGCCGGGCGCTAGGGAACCGGGCTTGAAAATAGGAGGAAAGGAGGGTGGGTGGGCAGGGCGTGTCGGATGAGTTTCTAAGACTGGGGTGGGGATAAGACAACATCCTGGGAAACGGGACCACACTCACTGTCCGTTGTCAATGTTAGTGTTCTGAATCAAGTTCTGGGCTGCAACCTTCATCAAAGTCTAGTTAAAAGAAAAAGAAAAAGACGCAAGAGATGGGGAAACAAAAGGGGACACTTTCGGTGGTCTACACTCTTAAGATCCGATCAATCTTAAGCCTCTTCTCTTGACATCTTATGTCACTCCAGAGTAACTGCCGCTTCCATTCCCCGTATTTTCCTAGGGGCCCACTCTCTACCGGGGTTCTCGCCAGTGACCTCCCCGACATACCTCAGCGTCCTCCCTCACTCACCAATCACAAGCAGAATCTCTGTACAAGCCGTTCTTTCCACAGGCTGTAACGATCAGTGCCCGGTTTCTCCCTCCCACTCGAGTTCCGGCCAATCCCAGGCTCAACATCCGCGCTGCTCCCCAAAGGACCAAGTCTCACTCCTCTTCCCTGCCTAACGCTCTTCTTGCTTGCTCCCTGACTAAACAACCCTTCCGCCCGACCCCTTTAAATCAGAGAACCAAACCCCGCTTGCTTCTTGAAGCTCCCGGCCAATCACCTGAAGACTCTCCTTCAGCTGCGGGATGAGCATCTTATAGCGCTGTACAGGATCGAAGTCCTGTTGCTGTTGCTGCAAAAGTCCGCTCTGGGCAGGCCCCACCAGTTGTGTTGGTGGTTGCGGCTGCTGTTGGGTACCCGGGCCACCAGCCGAACCGGGACCCGACACACCAGCAGCGGAGGAAGGCGCTGAAGCCTGCTGGGACGCAGCCATCTTCTTCGCTCAGCGTGTCGGAAGTGCGTCACAAGGCGTCTAGCCGGGTTTCTTTTCAGCGTCTTCGCCTCTAGGCCCCGTTTGCTAGTTAGCTCCGCCCCTCAAGCAATTCAGCCAATGGGAGGAAAGAAGGCACTCCACCAACACTAGACTCTCAAATCCTATGTTCCAGCTGAGCTCCTGATTCACCAATCACAAGAGGCTTTTCCTTCGCTCCGCTCCAGACGCTGGCCAATCCGGATGTAGGTTTAATCTGGACTCTATTTTCCAGAAGGCCTCGCGGCCTGAGGCGACCTGTCGGGGCCTCATTATCTTGGCGGCAGTTGGTGGAGCTGCTGCAGGAGAGTTGGCGGCTGCGCAGTTACCTGAGTCTCCGCTGGAACTCTTCTCACCGAGCTAACCCCACCGACAGGGCGCCAACTCGAGCACTGCCTCAGATTTTGTGTCCGCCGAAGTCGGCACGTCCCACCTTGTCTCCCGCGGCTCAGCAAGGACCCAGTCCGGACTGCGGTCGCCTTGTCGCCATGGCGCCCACCATCCAGACCCAAGCCCAGCGGGAGGATGGCCACAGGTAGGCGCCACCGCATGGCTAATACCGTTGTCCTCTAGGTCTGTCCAGGTTTCGGGGAGGCGGGTTGTCGGGCTCGGGTGACTACCTAAAACGTCACTAGCCCCCTAGGTCTGCCGGTGACGTCACGGAGCGCTCAGTTGAAGGGGGGCGGGTTCCTTCAGGGGTGGGGGTGTTGCCCCCTCCTCCCCGCCGTGGAGTTTGGGGATTAAGCTCTTGGAGTCTTTATTCAGAAGGGAGTGAGCTCTTATTCCTCCAGCCAAGCGTCTGGAGACCCATTTTTCCAAAAACAATTGAGTACGTGGTTCTTTTTATTAAACACTTCAAGACACCCCCTTCAGAAGGGATTGAACACTTTCTCTAAAAGGAATTGAATACTTGGTTCCCTCCATTAAAGCACTTGGAGCATTCATACCAAATGGATTAATTAGCATTTGTCACCCCGTCCTTATCTCTTTTAAAAGCTTGGAGAAGCCCCCTTCACTCTCCTGTCAGTCTCATCCTTTCCGTCTTTCTACCAATGTCTCTCTCTCTCTCTTACCCACCAGGCCCAATTCCCACCGGACTCTGCCTGAGAGGTGAGACTCATTATGTTTTCCTAGGATGGGTGGGCCAATGGGGGCTGGGAGCAGAGGTGGGGCAGCAGGGGCTGCCCCCCTCAACATATCAGTGCTTTTTTTTTTTTTTTAATTCCCAAATCCCCACCCTCCTCCCCTTTGCCAACCATTAACTTATTCTCTATGACTATGGACTGTTTTTGTTAGTTTTGTTTTGTTATTTTAGATTCTACATGTCAGTGAAATCACGCTTTCTCTACTTCACTTAGCATAATACCCTGTTGGTTCATCCATGTTTTCACAAATAGCAAGATTTCATTCTTCTATTGAATAATATTCCTTTGTGTGTACATATATAAAACGTATACCACATATATGTATATATGACATACACATGCACACATACATATATCACATCTTCTTTATCCATTCATCTATTGATGGACATCCATATTGCTTCCATATCTTAGCTATTATTACTAGTAATGCTGCAGTGAACATACAGGTGCATATATCTTTTGAATTAGGTTTTTTGTTTTTCTCAGATAAATACCCAGAAGTGAAATTGCTGGATTATATGGCAGCTCCACACTGTTTTTCATATTGGCTGCGCATATAGTTTGCAATCCCACCAGTGGTGTGTGAGGGTTCCCTTTTCTCCACATCATCAATACTTGTTATTTATTCATGATAACCATTCTGACAGGTGCATTTGGTGGTATCTCGTGGTTTTAATTAGCATTTCTTTGATGATCAGTGATATTGAACATCTTTTCATATGTCTGTTGGCCATCTGTTTGTCTTCTTTGGAGAAATGTCTATTCAGGTCCTTTGCCTGTTTTTAAATTAGATTGGTCTTTTGGTATAAAGGTGTATGAGTTCCTTACATATTTTAGATATCGACTCCTTATGTATGTATCATTTGTGAATATCTTCTCCCATTCAGTAGGTTGTCTTTTCATTTTGTTGGTTTCCTTCACAGTGCAAAAACGTTTTAGTTTGATGTAGTCCTATTTATTTTTTCTTCTGTTGCCAGAAAGATATTACTAAGAGCAATGTCAAAGACTTTACTGCCTATGTTTTCTTCTAGTAGTTTATGGTTTCGGGTTTTACCTTTAAGCCTTTAATCCATTTTGAGTTTATTTTTGTATACGATTTAAGAAAGTGGTCCAGTTGCATTTTTATTTTGCATGTATCTGTTCAGTTTTCCCAACACCACTTGTTAAAGAGACTGTCTTTACCTATTTGTATAGCCTTGCCTCGTTTGTCATAGATTGACTGTTGAAGCAAGGAGTTCTGGGCTTTCTATTCCATCCCATTGATCTATATGTTTTTATTGTCAGTACCACACAGTTTTGATTATTGTGGCTTTATAATATAGTTTGATATCAGGGAGCTTGCTACCTCTCACTTTGTTCTTAAAATTTCTTTGGCTATTCAGGGTCTTTTGTGGTTCTGTATAAGTTTTAGGATTAGTTCTAGTTCTGAGAAGAATGGTGTTTTAATAGGGATCACACTGAATCTGTAAATTGCTTCAGGTTATAAGGACATTTTAACAATATTAATCCTTCCAATGCATTAGAAAGATATATCTTCCATTTATTTGCATCTTCTTCACTTTATTTCTTTAATCTCTTATAGTTTTCTGAGTACGGGTCTTTCACTTCTTTGGTTAAGTATTTCATGCTTTTGGATACAACTGTAAATGGGACTGTTTTCTTAATTTCTCCTTTTAATCATCCATTATTGGTGTATAGAAATGCAACAGATTTCTGTATATTGATCTGTATCCTGCAACTTTACTAAATTCATTTATTAGTTCTAAATGTTTTTCGGCAGATTCTTTTGGGTTTTCTATATATAGATCGTGTCATCTGCGAATAATGAGTTTTACTTCTCTGGATGTTTTATTTTTTATTAATTATATCAATTATATTAATTATATTATACTATATCATTTACTTAGTCTGATTGATGTGGCTGGACTTCTGATACTGTGGTGAATAGAAATGGTGATAGTGGGCATTCTTTTCTTGTTCCTGATCTTAAAGGAAAAACTTTCAGCTTTTCACCATTGAGTATATTAGCTGTGGGTTTGTCATATATAGCCTTTATTATGTTGAGGTATATTTCTTCTGTACCCACTGTTGAGTTTTCATCATAAAAGGATGCTGAATTTTATCATATATTTTCTCTGCATCTATTGAGATGATCATATGGTTTTTATCCTTTGTTTTGTTCATGTGATGTGTCACGTTGATTTACGGATGTTGAACCATCCTTGCATCTCTGGTGTATAATCCTTTTAATGTATTGTTGAATCCAGTTTGCTAATATTTTGTTAAGAATTTTTGCACCTACATTAATTGGGGATATTAGCTTGTAATTTTTTTTTTTTGTAATTTGTCTGGTTTTGGTATCAAGGCTTCATAGAATGAGTTTAGAAACATTCCTTCTTCAATTTTTTGAAATATTTTAAGAGGTATAGGTATTATTTCTTTGAATGTTTGGTAGAATTTGCCTGTGAAGCCATCTGGTCCTGGACTTCTGTTGGGAATGTTATGATAACTGCTTGTTTCATTGCTAGTAATTGGTCTGTTTAGATTTTCTATTCTGGTTCAGTCTTGGGAAGGTCATATACGTCTAGAAATTTATCTATTTCTTCTAGATTGTTGAATTTGTCAACATGTAATTGTAGTTTTGTTTTTTTTTTTAATGATTCTTTGTATTTCTGTAGTGTTGGTTGTACTTTCATTTGATTTTTATTTGGGCTTTTTTTCTAGATTAGTTTGGCTAAAGTTTTGTCAATTTTATTTTTTCAAAGAACCAGCTTAGTTTTACTGATCTTTTGTTGTTTTAAAAATTTCTATTTTACTTATTTGTGCTCTAATCTTAACCATTTTCTTCTGCCTGAGTTTTGTTCTAGTTCCTTTAGGTGTACAGTTAGATTATTTGGGGTTTTTCTTATTTCTTGAGGTAGGCCTATATAGCTAGCTATGAACTTCTCTCTTAGACCTGCTTTTGCTGCATCCCCTAAATTTTGAAAAGTTATATTTTCATTTTTCTTTCAGATAGTTTTTAATTCCTGTTTGAGTTCCTCTATTAGTAGCATGTTGTTTAGTCTTCACATGTATTTTTTTCCAGTTTTCTTCTGGTAGTTTGTTTCTAGTTTTATGCCATTGTGGTTGGAACAGATGCTTGATATTTCAGTCTTCTTGAATTTGAGGCTTGTTTAGTGGCCAAGTATGTTATCTAGTCTGGAGAGTGTCCCATGTGTACCTGAAAAAAAAAATGTGTATTCTGCAGCTTTTGGGTGAAGTGTTCTGTAAGCATTAAGTCGATCTGGTCTAATGTGACATTTAAGGCCATTATTTCACTATAATTTTCTATCTGGATGAACTTATCTATTGATGTGAATGGGGTATTAAAGTTCCTTAGTATCATTGTATTACTATGGATTTCTCCCTTTATGTCCATTAATATTTGCTTTATATATAGGTGCTCCTGTGTTAGATGCATAGCTTTACAGTTGCCATGTTCACTTCTTAGACTTACCCCTTTATAATTATGTAATGTCCTTTTTTGCTTTTTTACACTTTTCCTTTTAAAGTCTATTTTATCTGACATGAATATTGCTACTCCACCTTTCTTTTTATTTCTAGTTGTGTGGAATATCTTTCCAAAGCTTTACTTTCAGTCTACGTGTCTTTAGATTTGAAGTCTCTTATAAGCAGCATATAGATGGGTCATGCTTTTTAATCCATTCTGCTACCCTGTGTATTTTTATTGGGGCATTTAATCCATTTACATTTAAAATAATTATTGAAAAGTATGTACTTACTGCCATTTTGTTCATTGTTTTTATAGTTCTCTGTTTATCTCTTGTGGTTAGCTGGTTTTCTTTAGTATTTTGTTGGGGCCCCTTTCTTTTTATTCTTT